AACAAACTGAGGGTTGCTGGGGGGAGGGGGGTTGGGAGAAGGGTGGTGGGGTTATGGACATTGGGGAGGGTATGTGCTATGGTGAGTGCTGTGAAGTGTGTAAACCTGGCGATTCACAGACCTGTACCCCTGGGGATAAAAATATATTATATGTTTTAAAAAAAAAAAATCCTTGCCTGCTCTCTGTTATTCTGTAATTTCCCTTTATCTTCGGCCGAAGTCTATGAGACACATCCTTTTACTGCAGCAAAGACAGGAGGAAAGAGCAATGCTCCCGGAGAAGCCACAGTCAGGACAGAGGCAATAATGAGAAATCACGTGGCAGCTCAGAAGTGGGCCGCAGCGTGCACGGCTTCGGGAATTCTCCCTAACTCTAATCAGAGGGGGCCGAACCTCAAGAAAGAGGTGGGAGAGAGCTTGTGTCTGCTACCATGTGAAAGGCAACTCTAAACATTTCATGCAGAATTTAAGAAAGCCTTGACGGCGCTAACAGGTGCAGGTGACAACAGATGGGTTACCTTGTATCTTGGACACATCAGGATTACACTACTGCATATGCGACAGTGACCCTAAGCCAGTTCTGGCAACATTTTACTGTCTTATAAATTATAAACAGCTAAGTAATCTAAAGAAAGGGGCAACCCATGGGGCACCTGGGTGGCTCAGTGGGTTAAAGCCTCTGCCTTCGGCTCAGGTCATGATCCCGGGGTCCTGGGATCGAGCCCCGCATCTGGCTCTCTGCTCCGCAGGGAGCCTGCTTCCTCCTCTCTCTCTGCCTGCCTCTCTGCCTACTTGTGATCTCTCTCAAATAAATAAAATCTTTAAAAAGTGGGGGCAACACTTATCCTTAAAAATTCACAAATTTTGACCATTAGGATCCAAAAAGATGGCCTTGAACGTGAAAAACATCTGTAAACTGAATATACAATTAGACCTTCTATACTGTGCCTTGCGTTCAATTAATTTCCACAACAAAGAAACCTCTGCAGAAGAAAACCAGCTTGTCTCTCCAACTGTACCTCAGGTTCCTTGAGAACTGGAACCTTGAGAAAGGTCGTGCTTTAATTTTCAGTATCTTGTAAAACTAGGGACAGTGTCAGACATTCAACAAATATGAAATACACTTTTTTAATTGATAAAAAAATTTGCTGTTTCAAGGTCTCAATGACACTTTTAGCAAAAGAAACAAAAATTTGTTTTAAGCTTCACTAACATCAAGATAACAAATATAGCAAAAAAAAAAAAGATATAAAATATACCAATTTTAAGTTTTCTACCGCATACTATTTACAAAATGAAAGAGATCTTTACTCAATGAGTCCAAGAAATACAGGTCATGATGTATTTGTATAGACAATTCAGAATAACATCTTGACAAGTTTTTGAGCATTTCTTTTATTCTCTCCTAGATTTCCAAATTGGCCAAAACAGAAACTACTGTTCATGCCCTTAGAGTATCTACTTACTATGGAACAACTGGTCATCTCTAACTCCTCGCTGGGTTAATTAGAAATAATTTAGAAACTTGACAAGCTGTTTCCAATAAAACCTACTTTTGTACAACTGATATTTTAATGGCCTAAAATTTTATTTAGCACTCTTAACTGTGCTTTCAATTAAAAAAAAAAAAAATGTTTGGGGCACCCGGGTGGCTCAGTGGGTTAAGCCTCTGCCTTCAGCTCAGGTCATGATCCCAGGGTCCTGGGATCAAGCCCCACGTCTGGCTCTCTGCTCCGCAGGGAGCCTGCTTCCTCCTCTCTCTCTCTGCCTACCTGCGATCTCTGTCAAATAAATAAATTTTAAAAAATCTTTTAAAAAAATGTTTATTTGGCATCCAACTATGGGATTCCCATTTCCCAACTAGGGAAAAATGAATATGAATAAAATGCATTCCCTGCCTTTAAGGAATATAAACTCAATGGGGACAGTTAAGAAAAATCTACATTAAGTACAACATTGCACAGAATATGAGAAATGCCATTAGAGAAGTTAAAACAAAGCTCTCCATGGTTCTGATGGTACTTTAAAAGATTTTTACACTAGATTTACTCCATTTTACAGTGGAACCAAAACTAAATACTTACTGCAATTACACGGTGTTTGCCTCACTTTCCTAAATGTAAATGATGTCCTTATTCCCCTCTTGCTTAAAGTTAAGTCGCCAACATCACTGGTGATAATTCCACCTTTATGACCCTTGGATGCTTGAACAGTATCAAATTTTCTGGGTGTGATTCTAAAAACAACAGTCAAAATAATTTATTTAACATTGTATTCATAAAAATATTTCATGTCTTTTTAAAAATATTAAGGGAACAGACCAAATTAAGAATTTACGGCAAATATCTATTGGATTCCCCAGATTGTTAAGTACTACAGAAAAAAACAAAGAAATAGAAGTCTCTATTTTTAAAAAAGTTATCTTCAGGGTAATAGTAAAAGAATGTACACTAACAAATTATTCAAGAAATACAAATAGAATAGTAACAAATATTTAATTTTTTTTTTTTAAGATTTTAAGTAATCTCTACACCCAATGAGGGGCTTGAACCCATGACCTCAAGATCAAGAGTCGCATGCTCCTCTGACTGAGCCAGCCAGGCGCCCACAAATATTTAATTAATACCAATTCTGAGGAAAGAGAAAGAAAACAAGGAACAGATGGAGCAAAAAGGAAGCACATAAACAGTAAACTTAAATCTAATCAATAATTATGTCAAATGTAAAAAGACTGTAACATGCAATTAAAGAACAAAGAATGTCAGAATGGGTTAAAAAAAAATAAAGTCCAATTATATGCTGATTACAAGAGTCAACCCCCTTAAACTAAGGACATAGAATGGTTGAAAATCAAGATAGGAGGAAAAAATAAAAAGATACAGGGGCACCTTAGTGGTGCAGTAAATTGTGCATCTGCCTTCGGCTCATGTCATGATCCTAGGGTCCTGGGATCAAGTGGCCCATCGGGCTCCTTGCTCAGTGGGGAACCTGCTTCTCCTTCTCCTCCCCACTGTGTTCTCTCTCGCTATCCTCTCTCTCAAATAAATAAAATCGTAAAAAAAAAAGGGGGGGGTGAGCCTGGGTGGCTCAGTGGGTTAAGCTTCTGCCTTCGGCTTGGGTCATGACCTCAGGGTCCTGGGATCGAGCCCTGCATCGTGCTCTCTGCTCAGCGGGGATCCTGCTTCTCCCTCTCTCTCTGCCTGCTGCTCTGCCTACTTGTGATCTCTCTCTCTGTGTCAAATACATAAATAAAATCCTAAAAAAAAAAAAAAGATATAACATGCAGAAGACAAGTATTTTGCATGTTCCAAGCAAAACCAAAAGGAAAGTGGTATAGCTATCCTAATCAAAGCAGGCTTCAAAGGCATAAATACTGCTAGAGAAGAAAAGGGACAATGAGCTTGAACTCATGACCCTGAGTGATCCAGAGTCTGACACCTAGCCAACTGAGCCAGTCAGGAGCCCCAAAAAGGGACATTTCATAATAACAACAGTGTCAATATGACAGGAATATATAAACACCACGTATATTTATTTTTATGCCTCTAACAACACAGCTTCAAAATCAGCAAAAAGCAAACAAAAAAATAACAGGAGAAACAGACAAACACCTAATTATCATTGTAGCTTTGAACACATCTTTCTTAGTAAGGGAGATCTAGCTGGGTGTCAAGATCATCAACATCAGAAAACCACAGATAATGGAACGGTTCCAGGCTGCCTGACATTCTCACCAGTACTTGGTATTACTTGAGTTTTTAATTTTCATCATTTTAGTAGGTGGCAAGTGGTATGAAATTGTGTGGGTTTTTCTGTGGGTTTTTTTTTTTTAAGACTTCTTTATTTGAGCGAGAGTGACGTGCATGCAGGAGGGGAGGGAGGGGCAGAGGGAGAGAATCTTGAAGCCGACTCCCCGCTGAGCCTGCAGGCTATCTCAGGACCCAGGAGATCAAGACCTGAGCCAAAACCAAGAGTTGGTTTTACCAGCTGAGCCACCCAGGCACTCCTGAAATTGTGGTTTTAATTTGCATTTCTCTGATGACTAATGATACTGTGTATCTTCCCATGTGCTTATTAGCCATTCACTGATACTTTGTTTGGTGAAGAACCTGTTCAAATCTTAAGCCCAAACCTTTGTCAGATACATGTATTCTGGGTATTTTCTCCTCATGTGTGGCATGCCTTTTCATTTTTTTAGTGATTTTTTTTAACAAGTAAGTTTTTAATTTTGATACAGTTAATCTTTTTTTCCTTTTATAGTGTGTTCTAAAATCTTTCTTTAAAAACCTCTGCCTACCCCAAGGTTGCAAAAATATTCTCTTGTATTTTCTTCTAGATGTTTTATAAGTTTTACTTTTACATTTAAATCTATGCTCTACCTTGGGGCACCTGGGTGCCTCAGTCCGTTAAGCACTGAACTCTTGATTTCTGCTCAGGTCATGATCTCTGGGCCATGAGATCAATGAGATCAAGCCCCAAGTTGGGCTCCACGCTCAGTGGAGAGTCTGGTTGGGATTCTTGTTCGGCCTCGCCCTTACCTTTGCCCCTCCCCCATTTGATCACGCTCACGCTCCCTCTCAAAATGAATAAATAAGTCTTTGGAAAAAAAAAATCTATGATCCACCTCATATTACTCTTTTTGTAAATGGCTATGAGGCAGATCATGGTTCATTTTATTTCCACAAGGGCATAGTTCCAGCACCACCTATTTATAAAGTTTCTTTCCACATTCAATTGCATTCGTGTCTTTGTCAAAAATTAACTGACTGTGGGGCTCCTGGGTGGTTCAGTTGGTTAAGCTTCTGCCTTCAGCTCAGGTCAGGATCCCAAGGTCCTGGGATTGAGCCCTTCCCTGCTCAGCAGGAAGTCTTCTTCTCCCTCTCCCTCTGCCTGCTGTTCCCCCTAGTTACACTGTCTCTCACTCTGTCAAATAAATAATAAAAAAAAAATTAACTGACCTGATATATGAGAACATATTCTGCCCTACTGGTCTATCTGTCTATCTATACACCAACGCTACATTCTTTTTTCTCTCACTCTTTTTCCAAATAGGCTCGACATCCAGCCTAGGGCCCATCATGGGGCCTGAGCTCACAACCCTGAGATCGAGACCTGAGCTAAGATCAAGAGTTGGAGATTTAACAACTGAGCCACCTGGGCATCCCATACACTTTTTAGATTATATAGCTTTAGTAAATTTTAAAAACTAGGTAGAATAAATCCTCCAACACTATTCTTCTACTTCAAGACTGTTTTGATTATACTAGATCTTTCACGTTTCCTTATAAATGTTAGAATCTGCTCATCAATTTCTATAAAAAAGTCTTCAGATTTCTAATTGGAATTACACTGAAACATTAGATAAACTTGGGACAATTGATAACAATATTAAGCTTCCTATCCCTGATAATGGCATCTCTACCTCTTCATTCATTTTGGTGTTCCTTAATTTCTCTCAGCAGTGTTTCATGATTTTCAGTGTGTATGTGTTGCATAACGTTATTTTTGTTAAATTTATTCCTAAGATTTCAATCTTCTGAGTCCAAGTTTTCTGCTGGATATACCCTACCTAATCTGTCTCCTTTAGAGGTGGGTTTTACATTCAGAGAGAACATGCTAAGCCTGAAAGATCTCAGCAAATTATTAAAAAGCATAATTTTATACTTAAGTGGTTGATGCCTCTTTATAAGGAACTAGGTAAGTTTTTTCTACACATCTAAAAAAGAGAAAGTTCAACCATAAAATTAAAATGGATTTGGGCGCCTGGGTGGCTCAGTGGGTTAAGCCGCTGCCTTCAGCTCAGGTCATGATCTCAGAGTCCTGGGATCGAGTCCCGCATCTGGCTCTCTGCTCGGCAGGGAACCTGCTTCCCTCTCTCTCTCTCTCTATCTCTCTCTCTGCCTGCCTCTCTGTCTACTTGTGATCTCCCTCTGTCAAATAAATAAATAAAATCTTTAAAAAAATAAAAAATAAAAATAAAATGGATCTGATCCTAAAATGAAAAAATATAATGTATTTCAGTTCTCAGTTTTCATTTTGTCATTGTTATACTATTACTTCAATCTGTTGTTAGAAGTCCCAAAAGGCAACAAAAGCAAAAATGAACAAGTGGGAATACATCAAACTGAAAACCTTGTGCACAGTGAAGGAAACCATGAACAAAATGAAATGGCCACCTCCAGAATGAGAAAAAGTATTTTTTTATTATATAAGGGGTAAGAGGTTAATATCTAAAACATATAAAGAATTCCTCAATAGCAAAAAAACTTCTAAAAAACAGGCAGAGGATCTTAATAGACATTTTTCCAAAGAAGACATATAGATGGGTCAACAGATACATGAAATTCAATGTCACTAATTATTGGGCAAATACGAATCAAAACCACAGTGAGGTATCACCTCATACCTGTAACAACAGCTATGATCAAAAAGAAAAGAAATGACAAGTGTTGGTGAGGGTGTAGAGAAAAGGGAGCCCCTGGGCACTACTGGTGGGAATGTCATTTGTGCAGCCGCTGTGGAAAACAGTGCAGAGATGCCTCAAAAATTAAAAATAGAACTACCCTGTGATCTAGCAATTCTACTACAGGATTTTTATCCAAAGGAAATAATACTAACTTGAAAAGATACCTGCATTCCATGGTCACTGTAGCATCATTTACAACAGCCAAGACATGGAAACAACGTAGCGTCCATCGATGGATGAATGAAGTTAGATAATGTGGTATGCCTATTTTTAAAAGCATTTTATTTCATTTTCCAAAAGCTAATATTTGAATATTGACTTCATAGGCTACAACCTTGCTATATTCACTTTTTAGTTCTAGCACTTGTTTTGTAGAATGCCTAGGATTTTCTACATCCACAATCATAAAGAATTTTACTTCTTCCTTTCAAATCCCTATGATTTTTATTTCTTTTTCTTGACTTATTATACTATGTAAAACACCCACTGTAATATTAAAGAGAGGTGGTGAGGGCAGACATTCCTGCCCTGTTGAGTATCCTAGGAAAAGGCATTCACTGTTTCACTATTTCACCGTTAAATACGATATGAGCCGTGGGTTTCTCACAGGTACCCTTTATTGGCTTGAAGAAGTTTCCTTCTTGTCCTAGTTTGCCAAGTTTTTATCACGAACAGATGCTGAATTCTGTCAAATACATTTTCTGCATCAATCAAGATGATTAAATAATTTTTTCACCTTTGTTCTTTTTATGTCATGAATTACATGGTTT